TGATGGTTCATCCACTCTTGTTCCTTTAACCACACATTCACGAGCATCTGCAATAGACCTCACAATATGTACTCAAGATATTATAGCGCTAATGAATGGGAATGTTCTACAAAATCCCCACGGATCAAACCAGCTGCCGATTATCTTTTCAATTTATCACTCAAAGGAAAAAGAAACCAAGAGACTTCATAAAATCTGGAATTTCAACAAAGCAGATTGGAATTTGTATTCATCAATCTTTACATCTCTAAATCAACCCAGAACGTATGGTGATCTAATTGAAAACTTCTACTTCTAAGCCAATACAGCAATACCACAATACAAGAATATTACCAACAAACATCACATTCCAAAACCTTGGTGGGACAAAACGTGCGAGGATACAGCCCGACGCAGAAAATTAACTTATATTAAATATAAGCAAAATCCTACAATAAGTAACCTAATAAATAAAAAAGATGGACGCATTAGCGAAGAAAACCTTTAAGGAGAAGAAAAGGAAAAACTGGAGGGAGTATTGTGAAAGTTTAAATCAAAATACTCCCATTAAGGAGGTATGGAGGACAGTAAATTGCTTCAAAAATCGCAAACAATCCAATAATTTACCTATTGACCCGGACGAACCATGGATAACAGAGTTTTACCAAAAAATTTCACCAGATTGGGTTCCGAATGATATTACCAACTCCATAGCCACTGTTTCTAGAGATAACCTTAGCTTAGATCGTCCGTTCTATCTATGGGAACTAAGAAGAGTCCTCAAACAAAATAATAATACTGCTCCTGGTAAAGACAATATATCTTATTCCATGATCTCTAACCTGACAAATGAACATAAAATCTATCTACTTAATGTTATAAATAATATTTGGCAGAAACAAGCACCAATTCCAGAAAGCTGGAAGGAGTATATTATAATACCTATAAGGAAACCTGGCAAACGTGATAACGATCACAATTCATATCGCCCAATATCTCTAGGTTCTTGTCTTCTTAAAACCCCGGAAAGACTAATTAAAAATAGATTAGAACATTGGTTAGAATTTAATGACATTCTTCCGAACTCCCAATTTGGTTTTCGTAAATATAAATCCAATCAAGATGCCATAACTGCTCTCGTAACAATAGTTCAAGTCAATTTCACGGAAAACTCATCCACTGCAGCTGCATTTCTGGATGTATCATCTGCTTTTGATAATATAAATTTGGATATCCTTGAACAAAAGTTATTGTCAGTCGGGATACCTATAGGTATAATATCCTTTTTGAAAACTTTGTACTCAGAGAGATTGATTTACTTAAAAATCAATGAGAACATTTTTTCTCCTCGACTGTCTAATATAGGACTGCCGCAGGGAAGTATTTTGTCCACTTTTATATATTTTATATAATATAGATTTAGAAGTCATTGTTCCTATTAACACCAAAATACTACAATTTGCAGATGATGTGGTACTCTATTCATCAGATAAATCAATTGATGTTTCTAAAAATAATTTAACAACAGCTATTTCATCAATACATACATTTTATGAATCAAATGGATTAACATTATCAGAATCCAAAACAGAAATCTGCTTCTTTTCTAGAAAACGTAGAACTCCAGAAAGGTATATAAATTGTGGTCAATTCAAATTTCCAATTAAAAATTGTGTCAGATACCTCGGAACTTATTTAGACAGAAAACTTTTGTGGAAAGATCATATTCAACATATCATTAAAAAACGAAAAAGCTATGAATATCCTAAGAGCTTTCTGTAAAACAAACTGGGGCGCAGATCCCAACATTAGTTTAATGTTTTATCGATCTATGATACGACCAGTTTTCGATTATAGCTGTCACTTGTATGGAAACGCATCGAACACCCATTTAACAAAAATTGAGATACAGAAAAATAAATGCCTACGCTTGTGCCTTGGGTATCTGAAATCTACACCAATTAATGTAATGGAAATTTAAGCTGTTGAACCGCCATTGAATTTACGGAGGTAGTATCTTACCGACAAATATATAGCTCGTACCATTAGCAGAGATCAAGTATTTCTCAAAGATATACACAATCTGGCTGTTTTAGATTTGACTAAAAGGTATTGGTTTAAGAAAAAATCTCCACTCGTGGCGGAAAGCTACAGAAATCTTTCTAAATTTAAAGAGGTATTTTATAAGGGTCATCTTCCACCAGTTTATACTGAAAAGCCTCATGTGCTGTTCTCAATAAAAATCAAGACAGAATTTCTCAATTATGACCAAGGCCCCATGTTTAACGCAGAAATTCACAAGAGATGGCCTAATTATTATTATATCTTTGCCGATGGTTCAAAAAAAGGAAATCACACTGCTTGCGCAGTATACCAATAGTTTTCTGGGCAACAGCATAAATATAAGTTACCTGATGAAGCCTCCATCTACACATCCGAAATGCTGGGTTTAAAGTTTGCTCTTTCTCACGTTTTGACAAAGGAAATGAAGAACTGTGTAATATTTACAGACAGTAAAAGAGCAGTAGAAAGTTTATGTGAAACAAATAAATCCAAGCAATTGACTCATCTTGATATAGAGATATTAAAATTGTACTATGAGGTTTCAAAGCTCGGAGGAGAAGTTATTATCGCATGGATCAAAGGCCATTCTGGGATAAAGGGTAATATAATAGCAGACGCATTGGCAAAAGAAGCATTATCAAGCGGAGAAACCATAGACAACAATATTCTACTGGCATTCTATATTGGCAACCCACACTTCTTGAAAAAAAGATAGTTTTGTTCAGAGTCCAACAGAAGTTTTATTAAAACTATTAATAGGCTAAGGTCAAATCATGCTCTAACACCTTCAAGAATGTACAAAATGGATCTAGCAGACACTCCAAACTGTACTTGTGGTAAATATGGAGATTTAACACATATCCTATTAGAATGTGTAAACCAACAAGGAAATCTTACATGTTTTTATGAAAACTTACAAAAACTAAATGTCTGTTTCCCATTTCACATAAATGAATTAATTTTCTCTGGAAACTTAGAAATCTTTAATTGTATTTATCAGTTAATAAGAAATTGTAACTATAAACTTTAAACAATATAATGTACTAACCCTAGAATTAAGATAAAACTTGTAAGCTATTTGCGAACATATTATCAATTATGTAATAAACCTTTTAATACGAAAAAAAAAAATAAATAAAAAAAATTAAAAAAAAATATGCAAAACAAAATTAAAAATAATAAAAACATATTACATACAATATCAAAAAAGTAATACAAAGAAAAAAAAATAAAAAAAAAATAATAAAAAATAAAAATAAAAAAAAATCACAAACAAAAAAGAACAGTCAAAACAAGTCAATTATTTAATTTATTTTTAACTTACATTCAGTACTAACTCGAACTCTGATTGTTGTTCTGTGAATACAAATTACAAAACAGTCTGGTCAATTGACTATGCCAAGGCCATTAAAAAAAAATTTGTAAATTATCGTAATTATTGTCTGTATATTATTTATATATATAGATAACGTTATCGTAGTATTTATGTATTAAATTTGTTGATAGTTCAAATATGGATTGCAAACACAGTAAGTCAATTTATAGATTGTACCCCCCCCCCAAAGAGATCGAAAAAAGGCCACTTAAGCGTAGATGTTAAAGAAATAATTGTAAACGTGTATAAGCATAGCATGAGTTACAAGAAAATCCGGCGTTAATATTATCCGATGTTGAGAAAAGAGTAGCTGATAAAGTTGGAGTATCTGATAGTTCTGTATTTAAAGTTATTAGAGAATATAAAACTACAGACACATTAGTCGCACCAAAAAAATGTACCACTTGTAAAGGCAAACTCGAATCTGTAGATGATTTTGACAAGGTAGCGATAAGAATAATGCTGCCAATTTTCTGCACATATCTTCGTTCAAGGTCCACGATTCAACACCATAAAAAAGAACAGAGAAGACGTAGCATCGCAGGATTCTTTATTCCAAGTTTTTATATCAAGAGAGAGGTTGTGGCTCTTGAAGAAGGCCCCCATCCGGTTGAAGGTGGATCTAGCTTTTGAGGTGGAAATGAGTAGCAATGATAAATAAAAGATACTAAATTATTCGAAATTACATAAACAAAATGGAATATTTTAAAAATGAAAAACTGTAACCCATTTTATTCATTGTACCTATGTAGTTTTTCATTACTTATTTTTCGTAATTCGATATTACTTATATGTAATAGTAAAAAGTTTTTTTCATAATTTTCAAAGAAAATCTTTCGTTTTACATCCGCAAAGTATGTTCGTTTGTGCATTGTTGCCTATACAATACTTGGGGACGATCTATCGATGGATTCATATATAGTTTTGTCTCCTGAATCAAAATCTGAAAACGGCATTTTGATATCTCGAACCGTCTTCGATATAACTGGCATCAAAGTCAAAAATAGTGACGTCACAATCCTTCTAAATATATATTAGTTTCTGCTGACACAAATAAATGTTAAATCGAAACGTCGACTAAAATTTTATTTATTAATGTTAATGTAATGTTCAATGTAAAGTCTATCTACCCAATAATACTTGTATAAGTATTTTCCCTTACTTTTACACAAGAAGAGGGCTCTTTTTATATCATTAATGAAAATATTATTACTTATTTCCAAATATTGGTCTTAAAGCGTAAAATGTATAAAAACAACTTTCTATTTTTTGCCTTTTGATTAATACCACAATTAACTAATGTGTGAATAACAGTTTTCAAAAACTAATATTGAAGTATACTTCTTTAAAAGATTAATCATAATCATTGATTACTATTATTTTAACAGTAATCCTAAAAATTTTAAATTAATTCATTTCAAATTCAGATGTTATAGACTGTTAAAATCTTAATACAACCCTGTACGATTATATAAACATCAGGTTTCACGTGTTCTGTGCATTTATTTGTTGACCGCTACTTTTTTGACAAATGAATTTAGTTTAATACCATTTTATGATAATGAAAAAAAAAAAAACTTACTTCCGTAGCATAAAGTACGTCCAATATTTTTTGAATAATAGGATTTCCATCTTCACACTCTTGACACATCACTTCAATGTCACGGAGTTTCCCGAAATAAAAGTCTCTCTCTTTTTCAAGTCCATCAACGGTCAACTAAAAATAGATTTAAGTAATTTAAGGTCACACTAGAAAAATGGAAAAATTATATAAGGCATGCCAAAAAGGTTTATTAATGACTGTTGGAAAACAACTAATGCTCAAGTCTATTTGTTTACTCATTACAAATGCAAATCTTAAAGGTTAAGGGTTACCGTCAAGGCCGTAAACCATTGGTTTTGTGTGTGTGTGTGTGTGTGTGTGTGTGTGTGTGTGTGTGTGTGTGTGTGCGCGTGTGTCGGCGAGTTTATGTATGTGTGCCGGTGTCGGCGAGTTTATGTATGTGTGCCGGTGTCGGCGAGTTTATGTATGTGTGCCGGTGTCGGCGAGTTTATGTATGTGTGCCGGTGTCGGCGAGTTTATGTATGTGTGCCGGTGTCGGCGAGTTTATGTATGTGTGCCGGTGTCGGCGAGTTTATGTATGTGTGTCGGTGTCGGCGAGTTTATGTATGTGTGCCGGTGGCGGCGAGTTTATGTATGTGTGCCGGTGTCGGCGAGTTTATGTATGTGTGTCGGTGTCGGCGAGTTTATGTATGTGTGCCGGTGGCGGCGAGTTTATGTATGTGTGCCGGTGTCGGCGAGTTTATGTATGTGTGCCGGTGGCGGCGAGTTTATGTATGTGTGCCGGTGTCGGCGAGTTTATGTGTGGGTACCGGTGTCGGCGAGTTTGTGTGGGCACCGGTGTCAGCGAGTTTATGTGTGGGTGCCGGTGAGTTTATGTGCGGGTGCCTGTGAGTTTATGTGTGGGTGCCGGTGAGTTTATGTGTGGGTGCCGGTGAGTTTATGTGTGGGTGCCTGTGAGTTTGTGTGTGCGTGCCGGTGTCGGCTAATTTGTGTGAGTATGCATGTCGATGAGTTTTTGTGTGAGTGAACATACATGTTTGTGAGTTTGTGTGTATGTCAACATGTATATCAGTTAGTTCGTGTCCGTGCGAGCGTGTTTATGTGTGCATTTTGATGGGCGCTTTTTTGTGCGTGGGCATTTTACCTTGAATTCGGCCACTTGGTTCGCTAGCTCATCTATTTTACCTGCATCGCCAGCTTGAGGTCTGTTAGAAATTGGTTTTGCAGCAGTTGGCTTAACGGCATTTACTTTGGGCACTGTAATATACAAAACAATATTATATGTCAGATCTTTATTCATCATAAATGCGTTGATACTTAAACTGTAGGTTACTAATCGAATAATTGAATTTTACACACAAATTTAACCAAAATATGACATTTGTTACTAGTAATTAAAGCTTTTAATTGACTTAAAAAAGTGTAACTAAGGCATTTTCCCAAAGTTTAAACAAGGATTGCGTTAATTTAAATGTATTCTTTTATGACATTAGTTATATTGAACCAAACTTTATTTAGCAGAATTTACACTGAATTTAAAAAAGATAGAACCTGAAACATACTGCATTTTACTGCAAACATTTTACTTTTTTTTATTTAATGTGAACTACGTAGATGTTACAAAATTACGTAATTAATTAATTAGATTAATTAAATATTGTTAAAAAAGATACATTGGTTCTTTATTTATTTAATCCTTAAAATTTTTTGCCAGCCTTTTTTGCGGACATTAGTTTCTTGTCAACTAAACCTGACACTAAACTAAACATGCAATTTTATGTTGTCTAGTAAACGGTAAGAGAACTTAACAACTTTGTAAAATTGTTCAAATATCAACGCAATATAATAAAAATGATCTATTAGATAAACAATTTTAGTAAAGCCAGGCATTAATAACATGCAACTTGTTCCAATTTGCTATTTATCATAATTCAATTATTTAAATAGTAAACAACTACTATTGTTAATCTATCATCGAATATATGTTGGTAATCTTAACTAATAATTATTCGAAGGTAGATTAAATTGTGAATGATATACCAGATGGTTAGCAATCTAAAGATATTAATCAAGCACTTATATTGGAAGATGGTTTGGTTTCTCAGGATTGAAGGGTTGTTAAAATTTTAATATAAACTTTATAAAATGGTGTGTGTATTTGGCTAGTTAATGAAACAAACATGATGAATAACATATATGATACGATAATCACTAAAACCAAAAATAAAAAAATATATAAAACTTGGTTCAAGTTTTGTTTAATTTTTTTTTAATTTTATTTCATTTCTTTATTTATATTCATTGAATAAAAATAGGTGAGTGTCACTCGCTCCTAAAATTAGCCAACCGTAACCACCGCGTTGTAATGTCTGAATTTAGGTTATTCTTATGGTTGTGAGGTCACTAAAGAATTTGCGATCATTTTTAAATAGATATAATGAGAACGAAATGTTCTAGAACCATCTAGCGGAGGGACGGTCAAACCATTGGAAAGTCTGGAATTCTCGAAGGTTACCGATAGAGGTGAGTTTTTTCAAATTTTTTTAACGCACAGAGCCGCAATCAGAGGTTTGTAAGTCACAACAATATTAAAATATGACACGAGACAATTTCTTAAAAAATTTTCAATTCTTCTTGACGAGATACAAAGAAAATGATAAAATAAAGAAATATAAGATTGTATAGAAAAAGTTTATGAGTTAAAAGTTGAGTGTAAGATGCGCTCGGCACAAATCGATTTTTGTCACTTTCGTCAATAATTATTTTGTGTATTTTTATACACAAAACGGGTCGGAAGTTTTTTAGAATTCGCTCGTAAGTACTCTAAAGAATATGTTGTCAACAATTGTTAAGATGCAGCGCGTTTAACATGAACAAGAAAAAACTTTTAAAGTTTTTTCGTTTAACGCTATTCATGTAAAACTAACATTTTCACCTCTGTTACGTCCCTTCATATATATATTATTATTTTTGTATTAAGTATTTTCTTAGTATTTTATTTTATATATAATTAGTTAATTACCGTGCGTACATGTATTATATACGTAAACTAATACGGCCCTGTACGCATCGCCCATATGATACTTTAGGGTGGCGATTTCGGACTACCCACGCTTAGTCTTGTATAAACCAACGTGATAAACACTTGAGTTTTGCGTAAAACCACGCCCACGTTTAAAGAGACGCTGTCCATGACCAAGTGCACTGTGGAAGAAGCAGAAGTGTTAATTTAACATCACAGGTACCGTAATTTGATTTGCACAAACACGAACAATATTGAAACTGATAAATTTACATTTAACCTATTTCGACATAAAAAATAATACCAACATCTATAAATAAACATTTGGAAAATTATTATTATTAAATATAATTGTTACAGGATCGAGAAAAACAAAAAGCACACGAGTTTAGCAATAAATATTGCGTTTTAAAATTTCCTACGTTATTAAAAATAAATAATAATAAAAGGAATATATTGTTGTATATTTATTAATTCTAATTTATTGTCTTTATTATTTATCAAAGGTTCTATATTTACACTTACAATTCAATTTTAAGTTTATTTATACTAAATTATCTTACACTAATGTAATTTATACGAGCGTTACATTTTAAACTCGGCGCGCTATTCTCTTCTGACTGAACTCTTTCTACAATGAGAGTTCCGTTATATACCCAATACCGTTAGACTAGAACAACGGCGAAGAGTCGATGACCTTCTCGTCTGGTATAGAAGGTAAAAATGTCTTCGAAGAGTCGGGCCGCCGGCTGACTGTTGTTTTTTTATTCGATTCCCTTCTGGAGAGTTCGAATCGGTGGTATATAACGGTTTTGTGTCAGAATTTATCGTAACAATATTCAAATATTTAATAATATTCACAATATACAAACTTATAAACCACCCTGTATTCAAAGAATTCTTTTAATGATAGAAAATTGCCACCTCTTGTGATATACTACTAAAAGGTCAGGTATTCGAGATAAAAGAGGGGTTGAATGCTATGTGTTTGTGCCGTCTAAGATGACTAAACGAACCTTTTGAATAATCTTAAAGGAACTTCTGTGAAACTTTGTCCAAATATTTAAAATTTATGGTGATTTAATTTATTTAATTTGATAGCGTTTTTAATGGAATAAATTACTTTAAAAACTAATTTCAATTCGGAATTGGAGGACCATGTGACATTGCATTTAATAATCAGAATTAATAATTGTCCAAATGTTTATTTATAGGAGCTGGTATTGGTTTTTTATTTCGAAATAGGTTAAATGAAAAGTTTATCGATTAATTTCAATATTGTGTGTGGTCTCCCTTAAATATCATAGGGCGGTGCGTACAGGATCGTATTAGTTGACGTATCTAAGACATACACACACGTTAATTAAAGAATTAAATATAACATAAAATAATAGGAAAAAACCTAATACAATGATAAGAATATGTGCGGGGGGACGTAACACCCCCATTGTCAATAATGTGTGACAACGTTATTTCATATTCTTGTTCATGACTTCAAAAATAAATACAACTCTTTAGCACGCCGTGGTCACTTTGCTATTTCTAAGAGCTTTTCTGGAGTTTGCTATTTTATTTTATTGAATAGTTTTCCCTTATAATGTGTTACATATTCCAACGTTGCTTATTTATCTGCCATTTCTGAACTTAACATGTCTGGTATAAGTGTGTAAACCGTTTTTGTAAAAAATTTCCACTCTTTTTTTTAATTAATTTAGTCCAAAAGAATGAATTGTTTGCTAAAAAGCAGAGTTTTATTTTTCTTCCAAAAAATGTATTTATTGATCAATATCTATTTTGCCTTTAGCTCTTCTAGCGACGCGGTCCTTATCTCCCCAGTTATGGCAAACATATTTTAGTTTTGAGTCCGGGAAAAAGTTGTGTAAAAAGGTACAATAAGAAAGCCGTTTCTAATACTTTTACCGTTCTATCCCAAAAATACTATCCATACATTTCTAGATATTTAAGCAACTTGCATTCTTCTTCTAGAGTGCCGTCTCCCTACGGAGGTTGGCAATCATAATGGCTATTTTTATTTTTGAACTCCTGCTTTAAACAAACCAATCGATCTGCATTGATACCAATCACGTAGATTCTTCAAGCATGAATTCTGCCTTCAGCCAACAGATCTTCCTTGAATCTTTCCCTGTATTATGAGTCTCAAAATTTCATATTTTGATCCCCTCATCACGTGACATAGGTATTCCAGTTTGCTGGTTTGCTTGCCAACTTGCTTTAAATTTGACTAAAATAGACAGTTTCCGTATGGAATTGCCTGTCTCCATCTCTCTCTTATTAACGTGGCCCCTTATAATGGATATGGGAACGTCCTAACGGGTCCTAGGTACAGCGGGTAGGTGGAAAAAAAATTCAGCCCCATAGCAAACAGACTAAGGTATGGCAATTCTAACAGAAGAATCTCTGACCCTCCAGGTTGGGAATTGGGTAGAGGCCAACAACTTCTTTCTGTAAAAAAGCACATGTTACAGAACCACAGGAATTATCAGCTTGATAGAATTTACGACGACGACTCTGCAAACGAAAAATGGAATTGAGATTAGGAACATGAAATACCCGAAGCCAGTAAAGAGCTCGTGCACTCAAATCTTTACTAGACATAGCGAACATATATAAGTAGTTTATACATCATTCACGCAAATAACGAATTTGTAATACCTGAGAGCACTTAACACTGAAAATATTACTTCCGCAGAGATAAACTGTAGAATTTACATGGCTAACTCATGGTATTTTGGACTTAAGCTCCTTAAATCCTCAATTATATCGAGAAATACAAAGGTAAAACTCTGCAAAACAATAATACCCCAGTCACTAACATATGGTTCAGACAACTGGACTCTAACAAAAAGTAATAAAAATATGTTAGGATGTTTCGAAAGAAAAGTAATAAGACGAATTTATGAAGCGATAAATAACAATGGATTGTGCCGAAAACGATACAATTTCGAACTTTACAGAATATAGGATCCAGATATCGTAAAATATATTTAGGTAGGACGTCTTTGATAGGTTCACACATTCTCGAATTATTATAAGGCCAAAATTATGTTATGTTACAGAATTTTGAAATTTTTTAAAACATGCCACATACAAACCATACCACAGACAGAAGTAACGAAAAAGGTTTAAACGTGTTTTAAGATTATTTTCTTTTCTTTAAATTTGTATTTTAAATAAAGCAAAAAATTGTAAATAAATTAGATTATCTTCGGAATTC